CTCTTTGCAGATTCTGGATATACATTTCCCTTAAGACTGGTTGTCTGCAGCACAGGGGAAACAAACCAGAACCTCTCATAAATCAGTAGAGGTCACTGCCAAGAGCTTTGTACACTTGCTGTCCCTGGCAGTGATAAACTCATTGCATTTGGGAACTAGCCAAAGACCCTGAGTCCTATCTTAATTCTCATTCCCAGAAAAACCTCAGAGCTCTGTTCACCCACCCCCTGTTTACTGTCTTTGTGTTTCTTAGACAAAGCTGGCAAGGAGGAAGGAACAGAGTTCCATAACTGGGTACATCAAAGGCTCCAGTTCTTTGCTTGGGGGAGGAGAGGAGTCGTGGATCTGTGGACTGTGGGAAAGGAGGGCCCGGCCAGAGGGGCATGAAGTCCCGGGCCCTGCAGGGGGCATGTGCGATCCACAGAGGTTATTGGTCCCGTTTTCCTCACACTTGTGCCTCACATCTGCTGTTTCTGCTTTGGTGGTTGGTCCTCATAGGGGGATGTGAGACCGGCCAAGGGCCAGAATGGAGTTGGCGGAATAAGATATCCTCAGGCAGCCCACCTCCGCAGGTCGTATACTCACTCCCTACTTTCTCCCACATGCCCCATGGTGGTTCTGGCTCTGGAGTTGCCATATGATATGGAGAGGATGACGGTGGGGCCCAAACTGCTCCTCTGACCCACACCAACCTCCAGTGAGTGGCCCACCACTGCCTGCTGTTCCTTCCTCTGCTCCCACATTGGCCTTCTTGCTCTGGTTGACCAGATATCCAGTGGCAAGACCAGATGTTTCCTTACATTCTCTGTATGGATGTCTCACTTCCATGAAAGTGAGAAATGCATTTCCCTCTGCCCAGATCTTCCTACTTTGAGGATGAGGATCCTGCTGGTTGATGGACAACCATTCACCACCTCTGGCAGGGTAGCTCATCCATGTACACCTATTCACAGCCCTTAGCTCAAATATGCCCCCATATTTATAAAGCAGGGTGCAACCCTACCAATGGGAATGGGCCCACTGCAAGGAGCCAAGCAAAATTAAATAATTGCTTAAATCTGAGACTGCTTTGATAGTAGAAGTCTATCACCCTGGTGCATCAATCTTGGCCTTATTAGGCAAGATCTTACTGAATCTAAGCATTATGACAGCAGGAACCTCTTCTGTCTTGTTCAGGCTATAATCTCAATGCCTGACACAGGGCCTGGCACCTAGTAGATGCTCAATAAATATTTTGCTGAATATTTTTGTGATTAAATATTTAGACATCTGTTTTATCCTGCTCTTCAACTGACAATTTCTTTATTTTAATGGACCATGTTTTTCTTGCCCACAATGTGGCCAGAGGAATTAGCTGGCTCAGGAGTGAAATTTGCTGCCAAGGCCAGCAGGGCTAGGCGAGGAGACATTTCCTTACTGCTCTTGGGGCAGCAGGAGGGTATTTTTTAAGAAACACCTAGGGATTCAGATTCTTCTGAGAAGTCAGAAGGAGCAGCAGGAACCTGTTGCCCTGCAGAGGGGTTTGGAGAGGTTGTAGGCATAAGGGACAGGCCTCTCTGGATGACTCAGGAGCCACCTGGCTCTGCTGGCCAGACAGAAGTGATGCCTGAGACAAGGAGGTAAAAGAGAGTCATTTTCCTTCTGGGCTAACATTTGTGCCTAAGGTTTAAGTGCAGAGCAACTTAAAGAGACAAAGATGAGTGTGAGAACCAACAATGTGCTTCAGCCTGGGGCCCGGGCCACTGGGGAGGAGCCAGGAGGCCCCCATCATCGTTCTTTTGAGCTGAATGTGATCCCCACGATTCTTCCATACAGAGAGCAGGAATTGATCTGATCATAAACCAAAACAAGTTTCGAGCCTGCACACTTGCTGAATGTTAAAACTCAGAGAAGCCCTTCTGTGAACCCAGAAACAATGTAATTTCCATGAACATTTGACCCAGTGCTGGACACTAAACAACACACACACATGCACACACATACACACACACACACATGAGATAAAAACATATTGTTCCCACCCTCAAAGGACTTAAATTAGAATGAACTGGATTTTGGTCTGAAATTTGCAGGAAAACACTTTGGCATGTTCTCACTGAGTTTATTAAATTAGAACACATATGGATTATCCAAGGAGATTTCAGATCCAAGCCATTCTTTAATCCTCTTGGCTCCTTGAGGAAGTCCATTCCCATTAGGTGGGTTATAAATATTAGTTGGCCATTCTCATTAGGGGGCATCACAGGAAGAATGAAGCTGGTGCCCAAATAGGTCTGCCTGTGGCCCAGCTAAAGATGGCATGGAGAGGGATCCGCATGTGGCCAAGGTGTTCTTACTTTCTGCCTTCATTTCCTTTATGTGGGAAGGGAGAGGATCTTGGCAAGCCCTTGTCATTACCCCATACTCCTCTGGGGTCCAGCAGCAGTCCAGCCAGGTATCTCTAAAAAGTGCTCCCCAGCTAAGGGAAGGTCTCTGCCTTCCCCTCTCATCCTCTCCCCTGGAAAGCATGCACTGGAGAAAGAGGTCCTTAAGGACCAGTCCTGCCTCTCAGCTGACCATTCTCTCCCGACTGACCAGCTCTCCATTCCCCTTAGAATCTGGGCCCTTGTCCAGCTTCATGCAATGAACAAAGAGTGTACATCAAGGAAGATACTTCCTCTACCAGGCCAGCCTCAACAATTGTGTCCTCCCTACCCTCCCTCCTAACAGGTCCTCTCTTGGGACAGCCAAACTTCCCTGTGCAACTGAGCTACATTCCATTTCAAATGATTAAGAACACTTTTTCAATCAACAAGCTCCCTCTCTTACTGAACCAAGCTTTCCCTGCTCTTAGTGAGGACAGATCTGTCAGGAAGAGCTCATGAGCCTGTAAGAATTAGCTGGAAGTCAAGGGTGGAAGTCATTGCCAAGGCCAAAATGTAAAGTTCTCTAGGACCCAGGAGGAGAGAGGGCACCACACCACAGCATCCACCTCTCCTGGAGGTAAGCCTCAGGTCTGGCATATTTGCCCACATGCCCCACGATCTGCTTGCCAAGGACACCCTTCTCGAATGAGATGGTGGCCCTGATGTGCTCAACTGGCCCAACTGCATTATTGCATGGGAAGGGTTTTTCTCCCTTTAAACTTTTTATTTTGAGATACTTCTAGATTCACATGCAATTGGAAGAAATAATACAGAGATGTACCATTTACCCAGTGTCCCTTAATGGTAACATCTGCAAAACTATAGTACAATATTCAGCCATGGTATTGACATTCTACATCCACTGAGTTTTTCAGATTTCCCAGTTTTACTTGTACCCATGTGTGTATTTAGTTCTATACCACTCTACCACATGTGTAAGATGCATCAAGATAGAGGGCTATGCCATCACCACAAGAATCCTTCCTAATGTCCTTTTTATTATTATACTGGTTTTAAGTGTACAACATGGTGATTCAACAATTATATACATTGCTAAAAGCTCACCATAATAAGTGTAGTTACCAACTGTCACCATACATGGATATCACAATATCATTGACGATGTTTCCTATGCTGTACTTTTCATCACTGTGACTTACTTACTTTATAATTGGAAGTTTGTACCTCTTTATCCCCTTCATCTATTTTTCCCATCCTCCCTCCCCCTCCCCTATGGCAACCACCAGTTTGGTCTATGTATTAGAGTCTATTTCTGGTTTGATTCATTTGTTTTGTTTTTTAGATTCCACATATAAGTGTAATTATATGGTATTTTTCTTTCTCTGACTTATTTCACTTAGCATAACACCCTCTAGGTCCAACCATGTTGTCACAAATGACAAGACTTCATTGTTTTTGGCTGAGTAATATTCCACTGTGTGTTTATCCATTCATCTGTCAATGGACACTTTGGTTGCTTCCATGTCTTGGCTATTGTAAATAATGCTGGAATAAACACAGAGGTGCATAAATCTTTCCAAATTAGTGGTTTTGTTTTCTTTGGGTAAACTCCCAGAAGTGTAATTACTGGGTCATAATAGTTCTATTTTTAATTTTTTGAGGAACCTCCATACTGTTTTCCATAGTGGCTGCACCAACTTACATTCCCACCAACAGTGCATGACAGTTCCCTTTTCTCCACATCCTCACCAACATTATTTCTTATCTTTTTGATACTAGGCATTCTGACTGATGTGAAGTGATATTTTATTGTGGTTTTGATCTGCATGTCCCTCATGATCAGTGACATTGAACACCTCACCATGTGTCTGCTGGCAATCTGTATGTCTTTGGAAAAATGTCTATTCAGGTCCTCTGCCCATTTTTTAATTGGATTATTTGTGGGGTGTTTTGGTGTTGAGTTGTATGAGTTCTTTATATATTTTGTACATTAGCCCCTTGTTGTATATACCATTTGCAAATATATTCTCCCTTTCGGTAGGTTGCCTTTCTGTTTTGTTGATGGTTTTCTTTGCTGTGAACAAGCTTTCTAGTTTGATGTAGTCCTTCCTGTTGTCTTTTATAACCTAACCTCCCTCCCTTTCTCTCTCCTATCCCTAACCCCTGGCAGCCACTAATAGGCTGTCTGTTTCTATAATTTGTCATTTCAAGAATGTTATATAAATGGAATCGCACAGTGGGTAACCTTCTGAAGGTTGTCTTTTTCACTCATAACAATCCCATTTCCCTTGAGGTTCTTCCAAATAAGCGGTTGCATGTATCAGTAGTTTGTTCTTCCTATTGCTGTGCCTGTGGTTTTAATTATTAAGCAATACTGCATCCCAACATGGCACCAAGGCCCAATTACAAAGCCTTTGGGGCATGATCCTCAGGATCTTTTACTCTGAGAGAGAAAATGTGCTTTGTTTGGTGTTTCTGAGTGGGAAACAGAACAAAACAAACATGTAGTATGATGCTAGATACATACAAGCATACCTTGGTTTGTTCCTCTCCTAAAACAGTAGCCATTTGGGTTGTAATCTTCTTTAGCTCTGTGTGACAGTTCTTATGTCTTCCTGCCTCTTTCCTTTCCAGGAACACATCTACAAGCTAATGAAGAGTGACAGCTATGCCCGCTTCCTCCGGTCAAATGCTTACCAGGACTTGCTGCTGGCCAAGAAGAAGGTATCCTTGGGAGGGGCAGGCTTGCCTTTCTTAGCACTATTGACCCTTGCCTGCTGCTTGCTGCTGGTGTGAGAAGAGAATATCATTCCTTGGGTTTTATTTATTTTCTCTTTTTTTCTTTCCCTTCTCTATCTGTTTCCACTCTAATGGAAAACAGGGTTGTCACCACCCCAGCCCACCCACAAGGTCCAGGGTGTGGCTTCCTACTCCATGTCCCCATTGCCTCCACAGGGGGGAGTGTGACCCAATACTAAGGCCACAGTGGCTCAGCACAAGAGATGGCAGTGACACCAGGGAATCCCGTAGGAAACCAGAGCAAGCCCCTCACTGCAAAGTCCAGGTCCCGCACCACTGATGCTCCCTCCCTGACCAGCTCAGAGATGAGTATGAGATTGGGGCAGCCCCCTTACCAGATAGTAACCCTTACAGGTTCCATGGGGGCAGTCTGGCACCTGAGATCTTCCTGGGATTGTTCCATCCTTGACATCCCCTACTGCCCCTCACCCAGCCCACAGTGTTTCCCTTTTCTTTTAACCAAGAAGTAACCGCATCCTAGCCCCTTCTCCTCCTCCACTTAGAATTATATCATGGTTCCTGCAGCCCTTAGTGTCTGGATCTGAGGGCCCAGAGACCCTCAGCATGCAGGCGATGAGGGGTGACTGAGACCAGAATGAACTCGGCTGGATTTCTGAGAAGAGGGAAGGAAGAGCCGAGAGGGGGGGTCTGGGAGGGGGGAGGCAGCTGAGATGGCTTGTGATTCTAGCATGCCTGCATGCCCTCTGCACTTTTCAGCTCTGAGCTGAGGCCCCTGTATGCTTAAGGGTGGCTCTCCTAACACCAGATCCCACAGCTCCCATGCCACACCACCTAGGAACATGTGCATCCCTTTCTTTGTTCCCCATCAGCCTCCCAACCCCAGTCCCTAAGCATGTTTGTCCATCAACACGCTCTGTCAGGCTTCTCTTCCAGCCACACAGCCCTTCTCTCTGTGTGCTGTCAACCTCATGAGCCCGGATTCTGTCTGCATATCTGGTTGGTACCGTGTAACTCCAGAGTCTAGAAGAGCTTTTATATCCCACTCTCCTGCCCTTGGGTAGCCCTAAGACCATCCCTGATGGTCTGAGAAAGAGAAAAGACTCCTGGACCACCCACATTGTCAGAACTCTAGCTTTCTTCTTGCCTGAACACCTGCCCTCAGGTGTCAATGCTACGATGGAAAATGTGAAGCCTGGCCTCTTGCCAGCTCCCCTGCAGACAGATGAAGATGGCAGGGCTCTGATGGAGAGGGCCGATACCCCTGCAAAGTCTTGGAGGCCCATTTTTTCAAGAAAAGTTATAGAGACTTTTGGTGTCTACAGCCTAGATCTCATGCGAGAAGGACAAAGGAAGTGTTCCTTTTTCACTGTGGCTCAGGCCGCTGAGCTGATCACAATTTGGGGAAAATTCTAAGGCTCTGGTAATCTAAGTAATCCGTCTCTGTCTACATACCCAGATGCCCTGCAGGTTTGAGCACCAAGGGAAGGCATCCCCCAGCTCAGGGAATGGGGCTGAGATATTGGTGCCTGCAAGGCCGCCCATAAGAGCAATACTTCTCAAAGGTCACTCATGAGGGGGGAACCAATGGCCTTCCTGTGAAATGTGACAAATGAAATTCAGGAGAATTAGCCTTCCAGCCCCCAAAGTAAGCTCCTGCAGATGCCAGCACCCTTTCAATATCCAGCAGTTGTTTCCAAAAACAGTGACCAAAACTACTTTTTCTTCCATTTCTCCCTGAGAGTCTCCAGGTGTGGATTTGTAACTCAGCACTTTCAGGTAGGCCTAGAGAATATTCTGATTTCAGCGTTGGGCTTACCATGGGATATATATATGCAGCTCATAAAGGTATGTGAGAGTTACAAGCTCCAGCTAAGAGAGGAGATAGGAATCCACCTCACTTCTCTGCTGAGAAAGGCCCCTAATGGAATGGGGAGGCACAGCTTTCTGATCCTTCATCCCTAATTCATCCTCCTATCCTAATAATTTCAAAGCTAATGTTAGTCACTGACAAACCAGGTCCTCGAAGGGTAGGTATTGAGGCAAGCTGGGTATTGAGGGCTCCTCCGGGACCATTAAGTACCAGTGATGGTGATTTTCCAGGGCAGCTCAGAGGGCCCGTGCAAGGCAGAAGAACCCAAATGAGTTGGGCTGATGGCTACCCTCTGTGAACAGCAGCTCAGTAGCCAAAGGACAGGATGCCAGCTGCAGGGCCTACAACCAGCCTGACTAGAGCCAGCTGTGTGCTGCCCAAGCTGCCACTGGATGGAAGCTGAGCCCTTCCATCCCCAGAGTGGAGGCTGGGTATGGTGCCCAGGGCCAAGCGTGGAGCCTTCAGTTCCTTGTGTGAGGAGAAAGACCAGCCTGGCTCTGCTGTGGCATATTGACTGTATTATATTTTCCTTCTGCAATGTCCTGTCTTCTGGCAGCCAGCTGAGATGATGCGCATGACTGCCAGGGAAGGCCCCTGACCTTGTCCACACAGACAGTGGCCACCCTTTGCCTGCCCCCTCCGCTTTCAGCACATCCTGCAGGCTCACGGACATCTGGCTGCTTCCTCAGCTCCCTAGTGTCCTTTATCTGCTGGGGGGTGGGGGGTGTGTGCACGTGTGTGTCCATGTGAGGGTGTGTGCTCTCCGAATTTCCCAGTCTCTGGCGCAGGACCCTGGAACAGGACTGCAGGATAAACCAGCAGGTATTTGGGGTATAATCTTCTCCTGAAGGCCCTTGGGAAAGCAGGAAACCTGGGGAGAGGGTCAGGTGCGCACCACGTCCTCTCCTCTGGGAGTAGTGAGTGGCAAGGCCTTGGGGACAGTCAAGGGCTTTCTGCCTCTTGCCCCTGCCAGAGGACCCTCAGCTAAGGTTTCCCGGAGTAGTCCAGAGCCTCTGTAGCCTGCTGTGAGTAGACATTGGAAAGGGTCACTTGCCTCAGTACTCAGGGAGCATTTTCTGTTCCAGGCACTCCTTCTGAGGCCCAAGAACCTTTGTCATTGCAAAGGACTTGGCTAGGCCCTCCACAAGCACAGAATGAGGATCATTAGGGAGCCATTAGGAAGTCACACAAGTTAGCGAACTTCTGGCTACCTCTGGGACTCCTAGAGGAGTCGATGACCCACCTGGCCCATGACCACTTCCTGACATCTCATCATCATGTCCCCAACACACACACACACACACACACACACACACACATACGCACACACACACACATACGCACACATGCACACACAGCCCTCAGAGCGAGTCTGTTCTACCCCCACTCGGGGCCACAGATGGCTGCCTGTGGCCTCCAAGACACAAGGGCCAGGGGCTCCGGCACATGGACATGGGCAGTCGAAAGCAGTGAGGAGGCAGCTCAGAAGAACTGCCGTGGGCTCTGGGCAAAGCCGCCATGGCCCCTACGCTTAGCTCTGAGGCATGAGCAGTGGCCCCTCACCAGCTCCCACCCCTCTCCTCAGCCCCGGCAGGCAGTGCGTGTCTTGGGCTTCTGTCCCCACCTCTCCCACTGACTCACACAGCACTGGCTGCTTCTCTTCGCCCTTTTTTCCCCCACTGTTTGCTTTCGTTCTTGTTCATTAGCTGCCGCTGCTGCTGTTTGAAAACCACATGTAAGCTGAAGATTTTTTTTTTCTGTATTTTTCTCCCTACCTTTTTTTTTTTCCCCCTAAAGCCAGAAAGTGAGCAAGGTCGTAGAACTTCCTTAGAAAAGTTCACTCGCAGTGTGGTAAGTTCAGCTGGTTTTCTTCCCTCAACGTTTCTTTTGGTTTTTCGTTTTGTTTTGTTTTCTTCAGTTGTTCTTATTGTCTTTACCTCTGGGGTGGGAGGGAGTCCAGTGCTTTCCCCCTCAACACACCCTTTTTCTTTTGTGAGTGTCTGCGGCTTCTCTTCTAGGGACGGTTTTGCAAAAGACCAAGCGGCCCTCTGCAGAAGGTGCACACACAACCGCCCAGCCTTGGGCCTCATGTTTGACCTTCTGTTCAGGGCTGCCGGGAGGAAGGAACCTGGTGGCCTGGGAGCTGCGTGGTTGGTGCATCTTCTGCGGCAGCCCAGGGAGGAGGCCACCAAACTGTACCATAAAACAAATTGGCTCAGAACCATAGCTCCTCAAAAAATCAATCCAAATTTCCCTCCGTGAACTCTGACAATCACACGCAGGCATGGATCGCGAGCTGGTGCTGCTGTGTAGACGGCTTTTGCGTGTGCAGAAGGCGGCTGTGCTGTGTGAGCTCTGGTGACACGGGCTGGCTGGCGTGTGTTGGTGGCCTCTGCATGAGTTCCAATGTCCCTGACAGCCCCCATCAGCCCCATTTGCATAGCATGACCGGGAGAGGAGGCAGTAGCCAAGGGGTGGAGGGAGAAACAAGTCCCTGCACTGTCCCAGTATCCCCAGGCCTTGATTCTGATACAAGGAGTGAAGGCGGGCCACAGGTAGGGAAGTGTGGCCTTATGCCCACACACACGCAGCTGAGAGGGTAGTAGACACCACATAGTGGCGTCTAGGAGGGCCCACAGTAACAGGGGAGAATGCTGAATGAGCAGGTCTCCCCCGAGGAGACGGGGGAGATGCGGTGGTCAGACCACCGCATCTCCCCTTTTCAGGCCATCTCTCCAGAATCTGAGCCAGGGCTGGGTGCACAGGACATACTCAATCCCTCGCATTCACTTACTTGTCAAAAGCAAGTGCTGAGTTCATGGGGCTCAGCCTGCACTGTTAATATCAAACCAGAGGGAACCAAGACGGCAGCGGGCAGCAGGGATCCCGCTCAAGGAACTGGCCACGGGTCCCTTCCCAGTGGAAACCCACTGATGTGGACTTGCCTTCCCCTCCCTCTGTGCAAGAGGAAAGTCCTTGTCAGCCTGACTACTGTGTGATTAGTATCTTTATTTCATTCTTTTACCATAAATTCTAAGGATTCTGGGTTGACAGCAACCTAGTCATTTACTTGTCATAGCTGGATGCATTTTAACAGAATTTAAACATTATTTTGAATTTGCTAGATGTAAACATCACAGTATCTCTGGTAGGCGGCAATTAGAATATGGGTGCTCTTCCCTTCCCTTCTTTGGTCTTCTCTCTTTCTGTGGTCTTTTCCCATGAGACTTCAGAGCATGCAGACTGCCAGGCCCACTCAGCCCCTGTCTGTCTGCACGGCTGGTTTGCGTGGCCATGTGGCTTCACCCACCAAGAAGGTGCCACAGGCTGTCACAGGCAAGGGAGTTCTTGCACCCCCAGTGGCCCTAGAGAGAGTGGTGAGAACCCATCCTGGGTGCTGTGGGGAGAGGATGTTTAGGAGAGAATATTTAGGGATTTTATTGACAAGCGCAGAGTGGGAGGCATGTTGGACTGTCAGGTTCAAACTTCAGGGAAGCTGAACTCCACAGCCCCATGGAGGCCTTCAGGATGACAGTGTGGGCTGAGGGTGTGAGGGAGGAACCCTCGTATCAGACAAAATTCCAAACATCTCCCGACTGCTTTACATGAGAGGTGGGTATGGGAGAAGGCAAGAATGATCTTAGTGAAGATCCGTGAAGAGCATCTATCGATGTGTCTTCAGCCCAGAAGTGGTGTTCATTCAGTGGTTCTCCACCATCTATTAACAAAACCTTTGGAACAAGAAAGCACCAAACACCTTCCAAGCATCTCGTGTGCATGTGGGAGAACTTAGAGATGTTTTGAGGGCCAGCTGAAAGTGAAAATCCTCCCAAGCTCCTGAGACTTTCAGGATTTATATGATAAAAGGCCCAAACTTAAAAAAAAAAATTCCCTGCTGTTTTTTATGAAGACTAATGGGTGGTGCATTCTGATTTTTTTGGTTCCAGTGGTGGAGATGGAGATGGATTTGCATTGATCTATCCATGCTCCTGTAGTCTTGCGGTAATACCACATCCCCCCAGGATGTGGCTGAGTCTGAGGAAATAGCCTGGGGCCATAGAATAGTGGCAACTCTCAGAGCAGTTGAGGCAGAAAGCCAAGAACTTGGGCTCAACAGCCCAGTATTCTAATCAAACAAAATTAACCAACCCACCTACGTGCCTTGCAAGTTAATAGCCATTTTCTGGATATGATATATGTAAAGGACCTGATTACTCTAAAAGAAGGTCTACATGAATATTTCACTTGCTACATACTACAAACTAGAAAAACTTAATGAAAGGTTAGCTCTGTAGCATTCTCAGGGTGCTGGAGAATATGTATACAAGGCCTCTCCCAGTCATGGAACTACACGGCAATGGACAAATGGAAAAATGGAGTGAAGCCGGGCAGCTCATGGACTAAAGACATGAGGCCAGCTTCCATTTAGGATTGAATTGGTGGCAGAAATGTCTGTCCAGGTGGCTGGTTAACTCAGTCAGCTAGCTTCTTATGAAGACAGAATCTGAATCCAAAATTTCCCTCATGCCAGTATCCTTTCTTTTCTTGATAAAGGATGACTATTTGCCAAGTTTCACGGTGTGTCATGACAAGGAGGGATTATCTGTTGAAAGCCACAGGTGCACCCTTGTACATAAGGTCCTAGGACACAGTTTAATGTGGCTCCTGGAAGCTGCTGGAGCCTTGCTGGTTAAGATGCAGAAGGGACTTTGCAATCCCCAATAGAGGATTTGTGTAGCTTCTCCTTCCAATGGAAGTTTCATTCTGAATCACCCAGAATTTAATATACAAACCAAATGTCTGGGGATATGCTGTGCCAAGCATTGTGTGGTTTGGCGGAATGGAGGCACAGAGCCTGCATAAAGCCCTGCTTATTTGACAGGGAAGGCCCAGATTCAGAAGTAAATATAACAAATTCCAGGGCATGGTGCAACCAGCCCATATTGCACCTTTATTTAAAACAGACAGCAGGACTTTCTTTGAAGGGCCCAGCCCCACAGGTGTCCAGCTGACCAAGCAAAGCACAGGTGAACCCCTACTTGACCCTCAACTGTATACATGGTGGCCCTGGTCCCAGGAGTACCAGCCTAAGAGCTTAACACATAAGAGCTTCTCAAGCTGAGGGGCCAGACATGGCCTCAAGTCAGATGAATAGACCAACCCCTCCCTAGTCCTGTCCGGGAGGGAGCATCCTTGCACAGTGGCTGTAAAGTTGGAAAGCCACAGTAGCAAACATCTGGCTTCTCACCAGGAGTTCCCTTTGCCTCGTCTTCCATCTCCTCTTCAGATTCTTTGGTGGGAAGCCCCAGGCATTACTGTCTACAGGGAGGAGGGGGCTCCTCCTCTCAGTGCCGACCAGCCTGCCGTCCTCCTGGTGCTGCGGTTGGCAGGTGACAGTGAGGACATGAGGGGGACACGAGCTGAAGGCCCCACTGTGCCGCTGCTCTCTCAGGAATGCTCACTGCTTCAGGCCTACCACAGGCGGCAGGACCTCGTGGGCTGACTGGCCGAGAGGGAGCATGGGAGGGGGCCGGGGGGCAGCCAGGGGGGCAACGGGCCTTTAGCTAGGGCTCACCAGCAGCAGTTTGGGTGTTTTTTTGGCTGGTGGCTGAAGCCGTCTCATGAGAACTCCAACCTGGAGAGGGGAAGCTAGAACACGTCCTCAACTCCTCGTGCACATTTCTATGGAAAGGCCATGGGGACAACACACTTGAGGCGGGAGGAATGGCAGCCCCGGGCACGCTGGCTTCAGCCTTCCTGGACACCTGTGACTGGGAGCTCAGTGGACGCCTTCGCTGCCCTCTTAAGAGCTTCATCATTTGTAGCCCTGAACCCCAAAAATGGGAAATGGGGCTGTTGGTGCCTAAGCAAGCACTAGAGGCCACAGAGGAGAGTGGAGATGCAGACCAGGCATCCATCCACTTCCTAAGAGGACCTGGCAGTTGAGCTTTGTCAAGGTGCTCCTTGGAATTGAAAATGCAAGGGCCGGAGCTGAGGGAGCCTTAGCACGCGCCGAGTGGCATCCGCATGACAGTCTGCCCAGCCTGCTGGGGAATGCCTCGGGAAAGCCAGGCAACCAGGATGCTCTGGGAGCAGCTGTCACCCACTCTCCCTGCCTTCTCCCTTCCCCTCACTTTCCTTCCTCTCTGGCCAAAAGCCAAGGAAGAGCCAGTGAGAGCTAGAAAGCCCACAGCTCACTTCACATCCTCTCCAGGCAGCCCTGCAGCACAGAGCCCCCAGCTCCAGGCACAGGTGCTGCACCCAAGGTGGAAAGCTGCAGCTCCCGGTGAGCAAGGTGGAGGGCAGCCACCAGGGCACTCAGCCTGGGCAGCAGGAGCAGTTCCTGGCCCCAGGAGGTGGCTTCCTCCTCCCCCTCGGCGTGTCGGGGGCAACAGCCGTGCACTCTCCTGGAATGTTCTCAGTACCTAGACTCAGCAGAGGCCCCAGAGGGCCTGACCTCAGTCAAAAAAGTCCTTTCAGGCTTCCAGCGAGGGACTATTGGGCTAAAAATCCACACCGGGTCAGCTTTGATTGCAACAGTCCTTGAGCCCCTTTGGGACCACTGGATCCCAGACTGTAGTGCCAGCCTCTCCCATCTCAGAGCCCTGACATCCAGCAGGAGTGAAACCCTGGTCTGTCTAGAGATGGAGGTGGACTTCCTTGATAGTATTTGGGGAGGAAAGATGAAAGCCTGCCTCTCTTCTCCTAGGACTCTGTGAAACTCTCAGCAGCGCCTGGGCAGAGTGGCTCCGGCTTCCAGCCTCAGCTTACTGGCTATGGGAGCTCGGGCAGATCACCTGCCCTGTCTGCACCCTGGTTTTCTCCTAAGTACAATAGCTTCAACTAAATAA